ATCAATCGAATTGTGTTGCATTTGCGATATTATACGCAACGTTTATAGCCCAAATAATATTATGTTGCCTATTTATACATTTTAAGCTACACTAAAGCCGATAATGTTGTAAAAAGTTAAATGTGTGATAATCAAATATAGTTTACCATTAATTAATTTAAAACTATCTAATTGCCTAGACAACTTGCATACTTTGATGTTTTGATTTCATGATGCCTTGTTTAATCTTTTTCTGTCAACTAACTAAACTGAGAAACAAACTTAAACTTTAAACTGGAAGACCACACGTCCAGTCAGTGTATGGGCTTCTCAGTTGTCAAACATAATTCACCAAGTAAATGGAATGGAAGTCCAACTCCAAAATTCAAACGGTGGAACGCACTAGGAAGATATTTGGCGCGGCATCCTAATCGCGCGTGAAGCCCTCTCCGTCTGTTACCTAATCCCCAGTACCTAATCCTTGGCGCCATTGTACATAGGATTGGCAATTTTGCTCATCCCCATGGGTATTTTACTATCCAACCCAATTGGGTTGGGTATGAAATCCAAATATATGGATATGGGTAGAGTTTGATGGGTTTGTACCCATACCCATTTACTTTGGGTTAGGTTGGGTTTATAACAAATGGATTTGGGTTTGTACCCATGCCCAAATACAAATTACAGTTTGGTACCTAAACTTAAAAGATATGCGTATTTAGTACCTAAATTTAATTTTTTTACATATAAGTCCTAAAAAAATCAATGGAAAATTACGTTTTGGTACCTAAATTTTTTTGGTCTTACATTTTCGTACCTAAATTTTTCAAGGTTTACAAATAAGTCCAATTTTTGCATGTGTAGTTAAAACACCCTCAAGTAAATGGATATCCATATCCAACCCATACCCATTTAGATAATATCCATATCTAACCCAAACCCATATACAAACCCCAAACCCATACACACATCACCCAAACCCTACCCATAATAAATGGGTCTACTTGGGTTTGGGCAAAATTACCCATGGGTGGGTAAATTGCCATCCCTATTTGTACACGAGGAGGTAGCGACATCTGTGGCCGCTCGACTCAACCATCAACCGGGGAGCTAGCCCTAGCCCCAACGATCTCTACCTCATTGGAACCTGCTGTCGGTGAGGAGTTATCCGTAGCTTCAATGCCATCGTTAGCAGCAACAACCACCATCAATTCTGCCGCTGCAGCTGTTGTGCGAACTGTCGCTGCACCAGCCATCATCCCGGTCATTGTTTATAACTGTCGCTGCAGATCCCCCACCATTCTCCCGGCGAATTGATGGGAGAAACAACAAACAAAATCACTCTTTCTCCACCAGCGTTGACATCGATTCCACATCCACAACGTACCAATCCACGCCGGCATATTCAATGTCGATATCTTTTTTGCTATTTCTGTGGAAATAGTGGATTGCAAAAGGGGAAGGTCGATATGTGGAGCCAAACGAAAGCTCTTTCAATGAGGATCCAGGCTAGCACCGACGGGATCTGGGAGACCCTCCACATCGCATCATTGCCAGCACTTCCTCGTCTCTCTCTCTCTCGTCAGACTCTCCAGAAGGAAATTAAGGAGAACCCAGCTCCAACCCCAATTCCAATACAAACCAGCCTTCTAAAAAGTCATTCGAGATTGGAACTCGGGGTTAATTGCACCCGATGTTACTTAAGTGAAGATAATGTTGCAGGGCTAGCACTTAAACAGATTTTGTTGCAACAAATCCCCTTACCTAAGTTTCCGGTTGCAAAGCTACCAGTTCCGTCGACGGAAGTAACGGCAGGTACCAAATACGTAATTTGCTAGGACAAGCAGGTAGGACATGTCATAACAGCTTCCTGACTTATCTTCAATCCAAATGACTCATCCGAGCCTTTCTTTCCCGCTCATTTTCCCGCTCTTCCCTTCCTCTTATATTCTGGAAACTCTTTGTCAAACCTTCCATCCCCAAAATTTCCTCACCCGAAACACACCCTTCTCTCTTTACACCCTCTTCCTCCTTCCTCCAAGTCGACAATGGCGGCAATACCTCCAATGTGCCGGTGTGTTGTACCGGCGGTTCTTCGAACCTCGTGGACTGATGCCAACCCCGGAAGACGGTTCTTCGGTTGTGCCAATTATCGGGTATGCTGATTAAATCTTCATTTCATTTTGGCGTGTACTGCAAATGCTAAATCTTTCCCATATCTAAACTATGGATCTGGTTCTTCTGTTGTTTGATTCGTAGGGTGTAAATGCATGCAATTATTTCCGTTGGATCGATCCACCACTTGAAGATAACATTAAGAGCCTTGTTCTTGCATTGCACAAGAGAATCCGAGAGGTGGAGAGGAGGAACAATCACAGCTCATTTGTTAGAGAAATGAGCAAAAGTTTTTTTTCTTGTGGTTAAGAGTGTGATTGATTACTTGTTTGGGAACATGTAATGAGGTGAGAACCTGTTTAGGATGATTTATCAATTGGAAACCTGTTTTGGATGATGTAATGAATTTGGAACATGTTAATGGCATGCTGGAAAGAGTCTGGAGAGTATGAAGTGGGCCTGTGTTCAGATGGTTGGTGATGTATTATTTTTGTCTGTTGGATAGGGGGCCTCTGATACAACTAGCTTATTCAACATATGAATCCTGATTTCAAAGTCAATATGTTATAGATGATCTATTTGCATGACTAATGGAAGAACTTTTCTGGTCTCTAATTTCCTCGTCAACAGTGTTGAGAAGAACTTCATTCTTTGACTGGGTATAGTAACTTTGAGAGGACAAAGAAGTGTTGTTTCCATCTTCAAAATGCAGGATATTTCGAAGGACAAAGCTAGGCTGCATTTAGCCTAGTTAGAGCAATAAAATAGACAAGCCGAATAAACCAGGGAGAATGTGTGCTCAATTTCAATTAGTGTATATGTTCATGAACACAAAAAATGTATTGGAAACCAAACCACCAAAAAAGACTAGATGATAGTTATGTAACATAATCACCAAAAGCAGCTGACAATCATGTTTGTTTATTGTATGGTTCCACCCCCATTTAACTACGAAACAGATCACATCTACCCTTTCCCTTTTGAAACAATAGGAAGTTTGTTTGATCTTCCCTCGCCTTGTGCAAAGCGCATTGTTTGTCCCTCAGATTGACTGCTCTGTCGTGGTGGAAGACAAGCTGAATTGAAGTTTTGACTGCCTTGCTGGGATGGGAAAGAAGTAGTTTCAGCTTGACTTAAGATATGCATTGGACGAGTTCGAGTGCTTTCCTATAAATCAATAGCAATTTGTAAGAGTTCTCACAGTATACAAGTTTTCAAATAATAATGGAATTTAAACATTAAGACCATACATCCGGCATCCACTGTAAAACAACACCAGATGATCCCATAGCTTGTGTGCTTCCCTACAAATCAGATACATAAACATCAGAAATTAAATTAATTTCAAGCAAACAACTATAAAAAAACTATAAAAGTCTCACCTCTGTTGATGATCTTTGAGTTGATGCAGCACCTTCTACTGAGTTTTTCCCCTTCTTCCCCTTTGTATGGAAAGACTTATTGTGCCCTGGCTGCTTACACTCACTACAATGAATGGTTCCCCCCTTCCCCTTCCTACTCATTCTTTCATTTTCAGCTTTAAACTTGCGTTTCTGTTTATCAGGACCAGCGGTCTCCTCAATACCCTTTCTCCTTTTGGTATGGCGCCTTCCTTTCTTTGACTCTTCTACAACTAGCTCTGGTGGCAACACAGGCTCCTTCCCACTTGGCAACCAAGATTCTGGCCCAACCATTGGTTCCACCTCACCAGAGTAAGCTGCAAGGTAAGTTCCAATCTCATAGCACTTGTCCACATACTGCTCTACCCTTATCGAGAGTTGCCATATGCAGCGTATGGCGTGAGGGCAAGGTAAACCTGTTAATTCCCACATCCGACAAGTGCATTTGGACTTGCTCACATCCACAACAACCTGACCTTGAGGACATGAAACCTCAAACTTCTATGGACCACTCTGAATGGCATTACAAGTGAAGCTAGCTTTCTGAGCCAAATCTAGCTTTTTCTGGATTTTAGGACAGAAACGACCCTTCCATTTCAACACTGCAGTTTCCTTCCTAACACGAAATCGATGCATCAAAATTTTCTTAATAGTCTCGAACATGCTTATGATCGGTTTGGTCCTAGCTCCTAACAAAGAGTTCTTCCAACTTTTAGCGATGTTGTTTGTCAACATATCTGACTTGCAATATGGCTGGAAGTGTGTTCTCATCCATTGTGAAAATGGCTTATCAAGCAACCACATATGAGCTGTCTTATTATAAGCCTTAAACTCAGTCATGCACCTCTCAAATTCTGATCCATAACTAGCTCTAGCACAATTCCATAATAAGTCTTTGGTTTTTTTGTTACCTCCTTGTGCCCAAAACAGATTGGAAACGAAGTGTCTCACACAACATCACTGCTCGGCATGTGGAACAACACTCTCCAAAACATTCAATAGGCCCTGCAAAATAGCATTACAAAACAATAAACATGTCAATATCTTATTACTCTACTGAAGAAGCCGTATTCACTAAGTAAACATCATTACTTTTTGCTTATCTGACATGAATGTCCACCTTCCTGGATCCTTGAAGATATTAAGATCTAGACAGAACTGGTTTAAGAAATGAGCACCAGTTGTCTCCATTCTCAACTTTGACTGCATCATATGCTAAAGGAAAACTCCCTCCATTACCTTTCTACAGAAAGAAGCCCCCTTCTTACAAGGTTCTAAACAACAGTACATTCTCTTGAAGACATTGGAATTTTCAGTTGTTTCCACATACCAGGTTGAACCAGGACTTGTCCTACGAACTTGAGCACAATAGTCCTGCAGCTTATGATATTGGGCCTTAGCATTGCCTCTTATAAGATCCTTTGCAAGTCATTTAATCCTCCATGCCTTCCACCTTGAAATAGTCCAATTATAGTCTTCTGCAACTGTTTGCATAATTGATGCAGCTCACCTATCCGGATCAGCCTGAAACCTCTGTATGTATCTTTTGGCGATGAAATTAGCATCCCCAAATGTGTTCTTGAACACCAAGACACAACCCTCATGCCTTAGACAACATGATCTTATCTGAACTACCTTTCCATCATCAGTTGGGGCTACCCATATGTTCCATGGACATCCTGGTTGGCATACAACTTGAACTCGTTTACTATCACTATGCTTAAACTTGAGTGGCTGTTTGTTGTTGATAGAGTAGTTCTTCACAGCATCCTTGAAAGTGTCTTTATCCCTGAAAATTTGGTGCAGACAGAACTGGGGATCATTCATGTCTTTCTCTGGATTGAACTCAGGGTACCTTGAACGAGTTGGAACCCTTTGCTGTTCGTCTTCTTCATCTGAATGGACGCTGCCTAGGTAATTTGAATCATATGCTTCATCCTCTTCAGGAACCTCAAATACATCATCAATATACATGTCATGGCTGCCACCCTCCCCATCACTGCTTTGCCACTCCATATTTTCATCACTAGCCTCAAAATCAGCAACCAAACCTCGTTCAAGATCACTCTCCACATTGTCATCAATATTAATTTCAACTAGTTCCCTGCTGTCACCTTCTCTTTCAGCCTCCCCTGCATTGTTTTGGCAGGCAAAATCATATTCTGCCTCATTCATTCCCTTGCTGCCACCATCAATGCCACCATCAGTTCCATTGTTGTGGGAGAATGCCTCTGCCATATCATGTCGTACTTCAAGTGGGCTTTGGAGAATGTCTCTGCCAACTTCTATTTCATTTTCTCCTTTGTCTGCTTCTAGGTTAGCTTTAGTCAATTCTTCTTTATTGATCAGGTAAACCTCAACAAACTTAGAGACTTGAATAACCTTTGCAGCCATGTCCATAATGTCTTTGTCACTTCTCAATTCTTGTAGCCCTTCCTTCAGTCGTTCTCCTGGTAGTCTCCAATAGTATGCCCAACCATTCTTCAGCCTATATTCCTCCATCATTCTGACACTTTCTGAGAAGCCAAACTCAACAAGATATCCATCCATTTCAAACAAAGATAAGCAATCTGGATCTATCCAGTCCAGATATTTAACTTCACCTCCAAAATAACACAAGTCTTCGTCGAGAAGATACAACATCTCTCCTTTATAATGGAGCTCGATGGTAAACTTGTCATCATCGATTCCTGCCAAAATCAACAAAAATAAACTTAGCATTTGGAAACCTGTCATTAGCTGACGAAAATTGCAGCAAAAACACAACTCACCATATGTTGGGATCTGATTAATATCTCCTACTTCCCTAATGGATGGACTCATCTTTGCAGCAACAACACACAATACGCTCGGGGTTGATATATAGGGCTATGGGATTCCCAACTGAGTTCTTTCCTATTCTATTTGCAATCCCTCGGATGGCTGGTTACTTGGCACACTGGTGAGAGTCTCTGGATGATCCAAACACAAAGATCATGAGACCACAACAGGTCTATGTTGGGGAATGGCTGCGTCTCTATGCTCCGGTGAACGAGCGAATCTCGTCGCTAGAAACAGACAGGCTAGGGCAGGTGTCTGTTTCTAATGCATCCAGGCGACGGCTGGCTGGGTCTAGTCTGTAGTTCACTCACACACACTTATCATAATTCATACGAGAAAAGGTAAAACAGGGGAATGAATAATAGCATGAAAGAACGATTGGTACCTGGATGGGCCTTATTTATTCTTGTTATTCTTCTTTTTGCCACACGAACGTCTTGCTAATCCGCCCCCCCTTTCGTCTCGCGGTCATGTTTCTTGGCGAAGGATTTCGTCTTTGCGAAATTCTAGTACAGAGTATAGAGGAGGGAGAAGGTCGGAGGAGAAGTCGGCTGATCAAACGAGGGTCCCCCCCCCCCAAAAGAGTCTTCGAATGTTAGTGGCCCCGTTTGGTGTGGCCCTCGGATGAGTCATTTGGATTGAAGATGAGTCAGCAAGCTGTACTGACATTTCCTGCCTGCTTGTCCTAGCAAATTACGTATTTGGTACCTACCGTTACTTCCGTCAACGGAACTGGTAGCTTTGCAACCGGAAACTTAGGGGATTAGTTGCAACAAAATCTGTTTAGTGCTTACCCTGCAACATTATCTTCACTTAAGTGCCATCGGGTGCAATTAACCCTTGGATCTCGTGTGGTGAAATCGGTGGCGAGAGAGGAATAAGTGACGGCTGGAGAGGAAGAAAGGAAAAAAGTTGAGATGCGGCAGGATGGGAAAGGGCACTAAGGAGGGTGGTGGGGATTTCTATGTTTTTTTATTTTCATTTTTATAATTTAATAATAAATATTTGATACTTGAATTAAATTATAACGAAATATATATTGGCTAACGTGTACTTATATATGTAATGTCAGAGTCAACTAATTGTTGACTCGACGGAAAGTTAACAGTTTGACTATTATTTTGTTTTTCAAAAGGTTTGACTATTATTTTGTTTAAAATGAAAAGTTTGGCAATTAAATTGTATTTATCCAAAAAAAATTATGCACAAAAGGTCCTATATATTGAGGCTTGAGATCGAAACCTGAGATGAGACATAACTGTAAGTGGCGACCAGAAGATTCAGATCATGACAAGAACACCTCTCCGTTATCGCCTGAACACTCGGGACATCTACAGCTTCTCCTGTCTCGGGATTGAAAGTGAACAAATCTCCTCCAGTTTTAAGAAACAAGCACACTCCACTTTTTAACCCCGGTCGCGACCCTTCATACCTCGCCTTAGACTCATAGGATAGTTATGGCTGACGAATTCTTTCGTTCACATATAGAAAGAAGCAATACCTTTATAACCTCGCCCGCTCGGATTGTACCAGAAAACCCTCTCACATTTCGAGCCCGGGGATTGAACCACTCCAAGATACGGGGGATTATGCTCTTCTTCATCGTAGTTAACAGTGTAATCGTGCTTCCTCCACGAGTCATTCCTCAAGCTATACACCTCGGTGAAACTCGTAAGACTAGGACAGAAAACCAGGGTTCGAACCACCTTGTAGTCCTTTTTTTTCGATTCGAAACCGAACCCAAGCTGCTGCAGCACGACATCCGAACTATTCGACGAAGTGGGCAGAATCTTGACCTTGGAAGTCGAAGGATTCCAAAGAATGATGTCCGCGGGCTCGCCAGGAATCTGGTCTGCTATGAAAAATTATGTCGTCGCAGCAACCCACAACGTGGAACCGAGACCAACCGTCATAAGGAAGTTCCCGAAACTTTCCGGGAACCGAGGGCAAGCCTAAATATCCCAAATCAACTAAACCATCCTTATGATCCTTCGACTTCGTATCATTATCATCCTTATTATTATCCTTCCCGATAACGGGCCGCAAGGCTCCTGTGACGGCGTTGTACGAGAGTATAGAGTAAATGAACCTATAATGATCGTGGCTGAAAGAACGGCGACGGCGTGTGATCAGAATGTAACATTCCTACCCTCGTACTAATTATTACGTTATAATGACGTGGTTGTGATTGGGTTACAAAAATTGGTCTTTTGAACCGAAAAGTAATTGAATAGTTGAGTTTTGGACAGAACTGTCAGGAAAGGAAAGTTGGGGAACCTAAGTGTAAGATATGGATGGTTGGACGATTGAAGGGGGATTTTGGGGAGATAAAAATCTGCCCCATCCCTCTTATCTCATTTTCTTCTCATCTCTTTCCCTCACTCTCTCCCACGTCACTCTCTTGATCTCTTTCTTCCACTTGAGTTCACCACTCAAAAACCACCACCCCCTTTTCAGAAACAAAGAGTGGAATCTAGAAAGAAAAGCGTATCAGGGAGAGGAAGAAGAAGAAGGAAGCAAAGGGGGTGCTGCCAATTTTCGTCCAGCAGCAGGACAGCCTGTGAGAAGGACGATTCCGGACAACCAAGCCGTTGGATCGTCCTTCGATTTGTAGGTTGTGTTTCATACTTCTTTGTCTACGGTTTGACCGTTGGGATCATAGATATGATCTCTGGTTCATCGAGGAAAGTCGCTGGACAGAAGGGGTGCGATACTGTTTTTCTGTAGCAGGACAGTAGATTAGAGGTAAGATCCTGTGCGAATCCGTCGTTGGATCGTTCTAGAAATTTGGTATGATGTTAAGTATATGTATTTCTTAGAATTGACCGTTCAGAATGTAGTTTTGATGTCGGAGTGGTCAGGAACAATTGTTAGAAGAAGGGGCGTTGGTTTTCAAGTGAAAAGAAAGTTGTTGACAGTTTTGAAATGTTAAGTTAAAATGATTGCTGGGATCAAACGGCTGATCCAAATGGTCTGAAATTTGAATATGTTGCATCCCTATAAATCTAGTTTCAGTAGCAACCCTAATCAACCGATTTGGTTAAGTATAAAGGGAGAAATGACCAAAACGGTGAACCAGGGTAAAGTGTGCGGTTGTGCGACTTCTCTAGTGGCCTTATCGACATGCATGAATACAACCATGATTATGATGATTGTATACGTGTCTTGGTGCTTGAATAACCTGGAAAATTTGTATATAAAGGTAAGGAGCAAGCCGGGGGCTCATCCAAAGGCAAGGGCATAGCCGAGTGAAGACAAAACTGTGAGTAGATTCTAATCTTAGATCTACTTCAACATAATAACAGTATTCAGGTCATGAAGCGGCTCTGCTATAATATGTGAATTTATGGGAAATGACATGGCTAGGTGGTATGGCTTATTGGTGTTTATTCATTATCTGCATTTGGTATGAAGTTGGAAATGCATGAATTGTGGATGGGATATGAAAAGACATTTTGTTGGTTGATCTTGTGTATGCCTCTGCAAATTTCTATTGTGCCTCTGCAAATCATTGCTGCCTCTGCAACTAACATTTCGTAGAATTAGCATGATTATGTGATCTAATTATGAAAATGGTTGAGTGATGATGAAGTGGAATGAAATTTTCATATGTGTTGGTTTTGTTGATTTATTGTATGGATTATGAGAAAGTAGTCGAACTTGCAAACCCGTCTTGTCTGCTTAGACTTGGAGTAGGCCATTAGGCTTACTAATCCTGTTCTGCTTGAATAACTCGGAGTAAGCTCCTCAGCTTACATTTCATTCAGCTGTGACTGAGGGTGCAAAAGCACTATAAATGCTTCTGAATATATAGTGTACAAGTGAGCCTATGGGTTAATGATTATTGACATGTGTCTAAGTGAACTATTAATGGAAAGAGGTGAATACATAAGAATAAGTAAAAGAGCTTTATGATACCTCGGTACAGTAGTGTGTCCTGTTTGTATCGATAGGGGTAAATCCCACGATACTCCTGTTTGAGCGCTCGTGCTCCGCACCGTGCTGATTGGGTGACGACCCACGGTACTCATGTTCTGTTCAGTTAGCCGGGCTGGGGTAATCCTGTGGCGACTCCTGTTTTCTATCGGTACGGGTTGCGTCCCGCGATACTCCTGTTTCGTGCCTTGTGCACTCCTATTTATACCGGACTGGGTTTTGTCCCGCGGTACTCCAGTTATCTGATGGCTGTACATGGTTACCTGCAGCCTTCCACTACTGTACTACCCGGGGAGGATATCATTTAGAAAATTTGAAAGTGATATTGTATAAGCAAAATGCCTCTATCTGTCATCTGTTTTATGTGTTTTGACTGTGGGATGTGAACATGTGAACTTGATTGATCCAGTGGAATGAAAAGTATGATAAACAGCTTAAGTCCTGTTATGTGCTAGGGTGTTTCTGCCCGATACTGTTTTTGTATTGATGTCGATCTGAGCTTAGAATTTATTCACTGAGCGACGACTCATCCTTCGTCACCATTTTTCCTCAGATCAAGATCAGAAGTAAGGTATGTACTGTAGATATCGGGACTCAAGCGTGAAGGGAAGCCATGAGGTGGGCGGAGGACTCCGAACTCCTTAAATGTTTTGTGTTGTGTGGATTTTGTAATAAAGCGAACTTCCCCGGTTTTTCTGTTTTGATTCTGATGAAAATGTAAATTATGGTTTGAAGTTTGAAATAAATAAATAAATAAATAAATAAATAAATATATATATATATATATGGTGCCTTCTACGGTACCTCGGGTGAAATTCGGGGTACCGCATACCTTGAGTATGAAAACGCTATCTAGACCTCGAATTAGCAGGATTTTTGGGCATGATACTATACCCTAACCCTTATTGAGTGAACCCTAGGTGCTAATTATCTAAATCTTAAACTATAAACCCTAAGATGGTGCATTACTTTTTTTTTGCCTATATTTGGAGGAATCATAACCGTCGATTATTGTTTCTAATTAAATTGATCTTGAAATATAAGATTTAGAGAATTAAGACCTAGATTTTGGTCTTTAAGGGTTAGAGTATAGTTTCATGTCCGAAAGATCAGTCAATTCAAGTTCTGGATAGCGTTTTCTTACTCAAGGTATGCGATACCCCGGATTTCACCCGGGGTACCGTAGAACTCCCCATATATATATATATATATATAAAGCTCGGGCCCGAGGATGTTTAAACTCGATGTATTTTACTATTTCGTTTTGTAATATAAAGTAAGGGTTTCACACATAATATGTGTTGGATGATTCTTTACCTCCTCCTCCTTTTTATGGTTGTCGTCTGACCAGAGAACCCGGTGGATGAAGTTGGGGTCGGAAAGAAGACAACAATATAGTTTGCTGACGCAGCGAAACCTCGCAATACTTCGACCGTCGCGCAACCTTGTCATGATATCGGTGACTATTCCCTCTTGTACATAGACACACTTTGCATTGCTACGACGGCCATATTAATAAATCAGAATGCGATGGAAACTAAAGTGTATTATTACCGGAAAAAATTACTCTACTACAACTATGTATACACCTAGTGGGAAGTAGGAGCGCTGAATTTATATAGCTAGGGACTAGGTCAGCCGTAGGGAAGTTGCTTCTCCTTTTCACTTAGGAAAACGGCGAAGGATCAGGAAGCCGAAAGCAAAACTGAAAAATTATCAGGAAACCATTAGTACTTGAGAATTTCAAGATCATAATCGAGGATAGTGTGCTACAAATCACGATGTAGTAATCTCTAAATATTCATTCATAAATTTGGGGATCACTTTGTAACTTTTCCTTCTCTCTACGTTGCACTAGGTTTAGGAGAGCTAGGGTTACTTTGTTATATATGTAGGCGGCTGTAGCTTCTGGGAAGTTAACAGAACGAGTGATAATTATATTTTCAGCTCGAGAGCCTCAAACTCTTCGTGGAGTAGTCCGTTCACATCGAACGGGAAAATCACGTAAATCACGTGTCTCGTTTTATTTTCTTCTCGAATTTTACATGGTATCAAAGCATGTCTGATCCGACCTAGTATTTCATCATGTCCGACGAAGAGAGCAAGACCTCAGCCTCCAAGTTGAAGTCGGCAGCTTCTCCCTCAATGGCACTGTCGCCACATCTTCTCCTTCATCAATTCGATAGCCCTAGTCATCTTTACGTGGGCGATTTGCTTAGTGATGTAAATTACAGTGAGTGGGTAGTGGATTTTACTGATTCGCTCATTTCCAAGAATAAGTTGTGTTTCGTGGATGAAAGTCTCCCTGTGTTACAAACTCCGGCTGAAGTTGAAGTGTTGAAACAATGTAACGCAGTGGTCAAGGGCAGGCTTAAAACCTCCATGACAAAGGAAGTCCGCAGCAGTGTGCGTTTTGCAACCACGTCGCGGGAAATCTGGGTCGATTTAAAAACTCGATTTGGAGCAGGTAACGCTTCACGCCTGTACGAGCTTAAACGAACCATCATCTCGCTTCAGCAAGAGAAATCGTCTGTCTCAGCGTTCTACACCAGGCTACGTAGGCTTTGGGATGAAATCCAATTCCTTACACCTTTGCTCGAATGCACATGTTCCGGCAGTAGTTGTGATGTGAAACGTCGACAAAGTGAGGTACGTGAAGGTGAAAGGCTTTTTTATTTTCTAACGGGATGAGATGATGCTTTCTCGACAATGAAACCGCAAATCCTTGCGACGAAGCCGATCCCAAGCCTCGGGGAAGCATATCAACTGGTGATGAATGATGCCCAACAGCGCCAAATTTCCAACAATCGTTCCCCTAGGCCTGAAGCAGCTGCCATCCAGGCTCAGGGGGAGCAACGTCAAGATCGATTGGAGCAACCTTTCACTCGGCTAGATCCGGACTCGGATGATCGCCCTCGTTGTTCGCATTGTCGCCGACGTGGTCATGCAAAAAAACATGCTATCAGCTCGTGGGTTATCCACAACGAGGGAATGATCAGCCAGAAGGTTCTCGGCGTCCATACCGTAATCTGCGCACCTCCCCACAAGTAGCACAGGTCGACGTAGCCTCCAGCCCGCTGCCAGGTCTTTCTGTGGCACAAATCACGGCCTTGAAGGCTTTGTTGGGATCTGATCTTTCGCAACCTGCTTCAGCTTCCATCGAGCCTTCCTTAAACATGGCCGGTACGTTCTCTCCTCAACTCGTTACCTTAGCAACTTGGGTTATAGACTCTAGATGTAACGAGCATATAGATAATGACATTTTTTTATTGGATGCTGACTCGCCTGTACCGTCTCACTAGAAAGTGGCCAAGTGTAACCACCAACTAATGCGTAGTATAGCGGGTTTAGCTTTAATTGTCAACCCAGGTCCTAGATGTGATGACTACTCGTGAATTTCTTATTATTTAGCGGTTTAACTGTAGTGAAGTATCAACTAAGCTAAACAAACACAAAGCAGCAAATGTTGTGGTTCAAGTTTGAGAGGTCACCCAGATATGGTTCCCCCTAGATTGCAGTTAAGTCAGGTTATAATTCTCCAAGTCCCGATTCAATGAATGTTATCTTGCAGAAGGTTCTTATTCAGTCTGAAGTCTCGACTAAAGGTCTCCAGACCCTCTTAATCTGAATACCCGGCGAGCGACTAACCTCCACTGGAGTAAATAAACTAAGGCCCTAACGTGCAAAACCTCCTCTATTGGAGTAAATCCAGTACAGAGTAGTGAATTGACTCCTCGACTAAAGTAGTCGATTCACCACGTTCAATTAAGGGTGCTCTATCAACCTAGGCAGATATTCTTAATCTAGGTCAAAGCAGGAATCACGAGAATTTGATCAGGATTCATGCAATTCAGAAAATCATGCCTCAATTGAATATAATCGATCTCAGAAGAACATGTACTTGGGCTCATACAACCAAACCTAACATACAAATCTAGGGTTCTTCATACCCAGGTGAGAGAGAGAGTTTACTCCATAGAGAGAGAATGGAAATCAGCTTCAGATGCAGAAATCATTCTTTGGAGGATAAAAAAATCGGCTTCTAGTAATCAATCGGCACTTCTCCAAACTTCAATCGAGCTCCAATGATGTTGAATCTCGATCTAGGTCACTTGGAGGCTTTGTTCGTCGGTTTCTCTCTCTAGATTTTTTGCTTTCCTTCTCTAAAACTCAGATTGCTTCCCAAAGAGCCCAAACTTTGCTTGAAACATCAGCAAATCCCGATACCCAACCCAAATACCTGGTCGGGTATTAAGAGGACTGGCCATGTATTTTGGCTTCTCGGTCGGGACCCCTTCTGCTTCCCCGGCCTCCAAATCTCCATTTACCCGGTCCCAATCCACTTACCCTCGGTCGGGTATTATAGTGACCTAATTGGGTATTTCGCCTGTCATCTCCTCCTTGACGCCAACTCTCCATTTTCTACCCGAAACTCGCCTCCAAGCCTCCCTTTCCGCGCCAAGTCCTGAAATATGACATAAATGCATAACCTAGCGTGAAATCGACTTAAAACACGAGAATTGACTCTCAAACGGTTCAATAATGACGGCCAAAACATTTGCAAATAACGGTCTATCAAATTCTCCCACACTTAACTGTTTGCTTGTCCCCAAGTAAACCTGACCAAACCAATGCAACTCTCCAGACCTCTACAGCAACATGCAACGCTTATCATCCCTAGAGGATTTCCTAGATCATTCAGCAGCTTACGAGGTCAACTGGTCTTCTAAGACGTCCCCTATCTCTCTTAATGCGAGTACTAGACTCAAACCAGGATCTTGTGAAGCAGTGGAACTAAGACAACCAATTCATGGATACGGAGACTCACACAATTTAACAACCAATGACTCTTTGTATCGGGTGCTCTTTCATTTCATCTCACTTGTTGGAACCCCTTTTCCTTGTTACTTGTTCCTTTTTCTTTTGTTTCACTTTTCTGGGGTTCCAACTATAGTTTTTTTATGCGTGATTGGCCCTTGTTAGGTGAGCAAGAGCAATTTCTGTACATGTCGCTCGCCAGAGTACTTCTTTTAACTCCTTTTCCTCATTTCGTGTGGAGGGTCAATGAAATTAAGGGGTGTCGGACGCTCTATCCGTGCACTTAAAAACACATCCTCAAGTAGGCAAACCGTTCAACGGGTGGAATTTTTACTTGTACCAGAGACACTTAGCTTCACCTTGTAGGCTTACCCCATAAGGATCACTAAAATCTCTTCCAAAACCCGATTTTCTGCAATGAACAGTGCCACTGATAACACCTAAATTATACATATATTTACCTACACGTTTACATCCTAAAATGACCTAAATTGTACCAAGTTCATTCGATTTCCCGATTTTATTCTTGCTTTTGTGTTTGAATCATGTTTCAGGGTATTCTATCCAATAAGAACGGAATAATGAGTCAATTCAAAAAAAAGATGGTTAGGGTTCGAAATCTGGCGCCAGTGGAACTCGAGCCCGCGACGTCCCAGGCGAGGGCAAATAGCCGTACCACTCCGGCCGCGTCCCCTTTTGTTATCAATATACAAAACCCATAGTATATTATGGTGATGGATCACGGAAAGAGAGCTAATTAACAATGCAGAGTCAAACCGCAAACTGCTAAACATAAGGAAAAGCTGGTTCATTTTGGGATTCTCGTGGGAGGCT